AAATGACTCATGTCTATTTGAGTAAAAAGTAAAGTCTCTGGTTCTGGGATTCCACTTCCTCCATAAATCTTCCAGATTTTCCTGTTTGGCCATTTTGAAAAATACTTTTGGCAATTTCCCTATTTTTTCATCTGACTTCTTTGACTTCCTGTCTAATTTATTATTGACTGTTCCATTAAAGTCTCCCATTATTATAATTTGATCATAAGTCACCTGATCCAGTTCTTGAGTCAAGTCCTCAAAAAATTTTCTTTTGCTCCATTTGGTGCATAAATGTTTACCACCAAAGTTTTCTTTTGATGCATAGTCATTTCCACTGCTATATCTCCCATCCTTGTCTTTAAAGATTTCTTTAGGATCAAATTCTTTTTAAATATAGATCACAGTCCCCCTATTTTTTTTCCCCCGCCAATGAATAAAATTCTTCTCCTAAATGTTTGGCAGCCAAATATTTAAAGTCTTGTTTTTTGATATGAACTTCTTGCAAGCAAATTACATTACATTTTTGTTTCCCCAGCCAATGTTTCACAATTTTCCTCTTATTGGGTGAGTTCAGTCCATTCACATTCCACGATATCACTTTGTAATCCATCATGTTCTTCAGTTACTTATCACCAAAATCTTTAGCATTTTCATACATGAATTCCAGCATTCGCCCTGTAGTCGTAATCATCTGTCTTTGACTTTGATAGGTAAAGCTCAGTCCTTGTGGTATCTCCCACCTGTATCTTATGTCCATTTGTCTCAGTTTGTCCGTGAGCTTCTTAAATTTCTTTCTATCTTGAACCATTGCTCTAGGAAGCTCTTTCATTACCATTATCTTCTTTCCATCCATGACAAAGGGATCAGTAAACTGCTTTTTTCAGAATGAGCTCTTTTATCCTTTTAGTTACCAATTGAACAATGACATCTCTTGGTAAATTCTTCTGACTGGCATAGGCTGAATTCACTCTGTAAATCAGGTCAAAGCTGTACTCTATATCATCTGCATCATATTGAAGGTATTCAGCACGAGCTTTAATCACTCTCTTCCTGATGTCGTCTTCCAGTTGCTCTTAAATATATAAAGTATTGTTGAAATGGTATACAGACTTGTATAAAACAGATAAAAAGAGTTTGGGTTTAGGGAAAAAAATAATGAGATTGAATCTTTGTGGCTTGAAAAAGGCAGAAAGATGATTTCTAAAACATATAAAGTATTGTTGGGTATACAGAAGATGAAATGTTAAAGAGCAAATGATAAAATGGGCAGTTAATATGAATAAAGAAATAACCATGTCATCTTGGGAATTTTTGTGGAAAAATGCAATGAAAATTTCAACATGTAATAATTTAAAAGAGAACTGTTATAAAATGATGTATAGATGGTATATGACACCAAAAAAGATTGCAAATATGGGTAGTAGCTTGTCTAGCAAATGTTGGAAATGTAAGAAAAAAGAAGGGTCATTTTACCATATGTGGTGGACATGTGAAAAAGCAAAAAACTTTTGGACAGAGATTCATAGAGAAATGGAGATCTTAAAATGTTATTTCAAAAAAGAACCAAAAATTTTACTTTTGGGTCTAAAGATGGAAGAGGTGAATATAAGAAAGAGAACTTTGATGTGGTGCCTGATCACAACAGCTAGAATGATATATGCCCAATGTTGGAAGCAAGAAAAGACTCCTGAGATTTGGGAATGGATAAAAAAGTTACTTTTTATGGTTGAAATGGATAAACTGACTAGAAAACTTAATAATCAAGAAGCGGAAGAATTTTTTGAAGACTGGAAGGACTTTAAGGAATAGTTGGAAAAGTACTGGGACGTGAAGAACACTCTATATCGTTTTGACAATTATTAAGAATGCAAAAATTCTGAAATAGTTGATACATAGAAATAACAGTTCATGTGAATGTTACCGAGTAAAGCTTAGAATTGTGGTAAGAAAAAGAAATTTAGAAAACTTAGAATAAGGAAGGGAGGTGGGAGCACTGCGGGAAGCCAATAGTAAAAGGGGGGAGTGAGTAGGGAAAAGGGTATAAAAGTATTAAATATGTTATAATGCTGGAATGATGTGATATCCTGATAATAAAATTTTTTGGGAAAAAAAATAAGCACACATGCACCAGATCTAGTGCGAGGCAGTGAGATGTGCTTTCCCTCTGATATACAGGTCCCTGATGAAAAGTTCTGAAGCTTTGTTTTGTGTTGATTTGGTTCGTCTTTTTAAATGGTATTGTGTAGTTTTTGTTTAGGAATCTTGTTTTGCACCAATCTTTTTTTTCCCCCTCAGCAGTAAAGGAGCTATTTACTCACCTTTCCCCTTCCTCTCCTTTTCTCTGTCTTTCTCTTGGTATTCAAAGTTTTTAGAATTATGGCAGCGCTTATTTCATCTGGTTCCTGACCAGTTGCTGTAATGGATCAGTGAACCTTTTCAGGCCAAACTCTAGTGGAAGATTAATATGGGTTCAGGCTACTGGGTTTTCTTGCACAAATGTCTGTGAGTCTAAGGGAAAATCCCTTTGCTATTGGTTCCTTGGAAATATACTTCCACTGTGTGCTAACAATTTCAAGACTATTGCTCCATGTGTATATCCCCCAAAAATGTTATTTTCAAACCTACATTTAAGAAGTGTTTATTGTTCCAGGTTGCTCCTAAGGGTGTTGAATATTAAAATACTAATACTGAACATATACAAATACAGATTTTATTGTACTGCAAAGCTTATATCTGTCACAGTACACCTCAGTATCTCCAAAGATCCTTGTCCCAGGATTAGTGTCCCCCTAGGGTTGCCAAGTGGCACTTACCCTTCCAGCAGGGGACTCCAGTTTGGCTCCCGGCGTGTGTGCGCGTGGACCGCATGCATGTCACAGGGAAGTGATGTCATGACGTCGGGCACGCTGGGGGTAGGGCCACAACCATTCAAGGGAAAACCATAGAGTTTTCCCTTGTATGGCCGTGGCCCCGCCCCCAGCGTGCCCGGCGTCATGACATCACTTTCCTGTGATGTGCACACTGGGGCAGGGTTCCCCCCGGGGCCCGATTCCCTGGCGTCAGGGAACGGGCCTCTGGGGCGGGGGGTTTTCGGCCCCCCGAGGGGATTTGGCAGCTCTATGTCCCCCACCCACCCCAAAATCTTGCAAAATAGTTCCCACAGTTTGGTAGGGGTTTTTTGCTCTTAAAATGTGGGAATTTCTTGCAAAAGGTAAGCTCCACTTTTACTGTCCTGGTTCAGCTGCAAACACTACTGAGTTTTAAACATGTTATGATCTTTCTGATGATACAAACGCCAATTCCACCAAAGAACTTAGCCCTTTGGGCACAGAAGGGTCACTCAGAACCTAAGTTGGGGGGCTATTACATAAGGACACTCAAGTTGCAACTGACGTATGGCAACCCCAGCAAGGAACTGTCAAGGCAAGTGAGAAGCAGAGGTTGTTTGCGACTGCGAGTGCCTTTCTTTCCAGAGTCTTCCTTGGTGGAAGCCAGATGTGCAAAGCAGGCAAAGTTACAAAAGCAAAAGTGAGTGTTTAGAACATGGGTGCCAGAGGAACGGGAGGTCCGGGGTACAGATCCAATTAACGGGTTTGAGCCGTGGTGGGCGCACTTGGGGGGGGCGCCAGAAGGGATCCTTGCCTAGGGTGCAAAATAAGCTGGGGCTGGCCCTGTTCTCGAGCCAGAGCACTATTTGGAGCCAAGTGTTTCAGTTTTCAAGGAACGTTTTCCTTTTCATTTGCAAACCTTTTGACCTGAAAATGTCTGCCCTTCACTTTCTAGCTGTGCCCCAATTCCAGCTGCCCTTTTACTCAAGAACCAAGAGCTGTTCAAGAACTCTGTGCATGTGTGTGTTTGTGTGATTAACTTTGAAGCAGTAATTTCTAACTATGCTGTATTCAGACATCACAATATAATAAGGTTAAGCTGGGAAATACACATTACTTAACTGCTTGCTGTGTTCGTGCCTCATGCCGTCCTTCTCCCCACTCCCTTCTCATTCAGAAAATCCTGTTAGAAACTCTGTAGCAGTGAAATAAATTATGAGTACACCGTGGAGACTAAGAGATTTATTCCAGCATAGGGTTTTTTGAGCCAAAGCTCACTTTAGCAGATGCACTTACATCCATTAGGCTGATGCATTTATATTAAAGGTTGCAAACCACAGAAAGGTTGTTGGGGGAGAGAGTTGTGACAAAGACAGGTCAGTTTAAAATAAGTCTACAGGGTGTAGATTCTGTTTAGGATTATAATGTTGCACTGTTGGTGCATCAAGTGGGTCTGCATGTCAAGAAAGAAGGAGTGGTTGTCTTCCCAGCACATTTGCACATTTACATGCAGTAGCAAAGAAATTTGAAGCCACATGAGGCCCAGTCTGAGGTGGGGATGCCAGTCTCCAGGTGGGATGTGGGGGATCCCCTGGAATTGCAGCTACAGAGATCAGTTCCCCTGGAGAAAAGGGATACTTGGGTGGAGGGGGGGCTCTATGGCATTGTACCCCACCGAGGTCCCTGTCCTCCCCAGCCTCCACCCAAAATATCCAGGAATTTCCTAATCTGGAGCTGGCAGCCCTACCCCCCCCTCCAGGGTCAAGAGTGCTTACCACCTTCCCTTATCATATATTCCTTATTAAATAAATTCCCAACTCCATAACATTTCCTAAGGCAAATGCCGCAGTTCATCAGTGGTCCCCCATTTTTCATTTCCTCATATGTTTTTATATTTAGTTTTTGTGTTTGGGGGAAGGGAACTTTTCATATATGTCTGCATAGAATCTTAAGAACCAAAAGTAACCCTATGGCATTATTTATTGGAGGTCTCATCCAGATGATTGTATCGACTTACTCTGCATAATCCACCTTGAATCCCTGTGAAAAAGGCAGACTATAAATAAATAAATAAATAAAACTTTACCAAAAAGACCAAGTGTTGCAATCTGTCAGTTAAGGTGGGTTTCTGTCATACCAAAGCTTTCACTGTATAATAATGCTCTATTACTCCCTTAGATCCAAAGCAAGCGCTACAGTTATTTAGATAGCCCAAAAGAACTGTATACCATTATAGAGCAAAACTTGCCAGCTGCTAACGGCATTATACATATTGTCAACACTCTAAGGAGAACACCTTCATTGGAAAACCTTGGAAACCCTCAGGTATGTTGAGCGCTCATTTACCTTTTAGAAAAAGGAGGGCACTTTTAATTAAATATCTTTCAGCTAAGGGCCATATTCAGACTTCTGGCCCAGTATAGTTCCAGGGCTGTTTTCCCACCAGTGTGTTTTTCTGTGGTGGTCAGGTAGCTGGTGTGATTGTGTGCGAAATCACCCATGCAGTGGAGATTCCAGATGGCTGAGGGAGGAATGCCTTTTCTCTCCAGTAATATCCATGGTTTCGCTTTCACACCTGATACACACTGAAGGGGGGCCCCCCCATCCCACTGTTGTGATCTCAGGTAACTCAGAATTCTCTGCCCACCCTGTTTCAATTTTTTTTTTTAAATTTGAGGGTGCATGCATAGAGCTGCAGAGAAACAGCACAAAAACGCAATCTTTTTTTTTAAATCCCCACGCATTCACCTAGGCACTGCAGAATGATCCCACCTCCCTTCTGTTTTAAAAGAGGGGTTGAGGTATGGGAGATTCCCTACTCTTATGCCATTTCCTGCAATTGCTGAAAGGGACTAGCCCCTTATGGTAATCAACAGTGAGAAAAGTAATTGGCTAGACAGCATGTTACAGAGGTCCTGCAACTGCATTGTTCCCGAGTGCTTTTTCTTTTTTAGAAGATCTGAAATATTTGGCAGTAGCAAGACAAATCACGAAGGATCAAGAAAAATGCATACCCACCGATTTCACAGACATTTGCAGAGATTTGGAGCAGTGGCAGTGTATTGTTGAAACAGCTGTGCAGCATTGCTGTGATCTGATCTCTCAGTTTAAGGAAAAAAATGTTTTGCTGGTGCCAACAGTGCCAGGCAGTATGCGTATGAATTTCCAAGCAACTACAGGGCAGTTCTCTGTCAAAATATAGAGAGGAAGGAAGGGGGTGTTTTCTTTCATTCTAATGTAAGGCATAGTTTCCATTTCAGACACAAGAAACTGGTTGTGCCAATTGCATTCTCCTGCCGAAACACCATCATTTACAGGTTTAAAATAAACTAGATTTTGTATTTTTTTTTGCCCAAGGAGCAAGCTACTCATGATTCATACATGAATGGAGGACAGTGTCATGTGAAAAGGGGGGGAGGGGAATTGCATAAGCTTTGGGGACTGAAACAGGGAAAGCCCTCTGCGTGGAAGCAGCCCAAGAGCTCTTCTGCTAGCAAGTTTCCTCCACTGAACCTCAAGCAGTATCTAAGTGCCTACAAATAGTTTGAAAATATGATTAAAGTTCTGTATGGTCCCGTTCACACGCGGCTATTTGGTCCGGGAGCGGGACAGTTCGGGGCCGGATCAAACCGGCGCGATCACACCACCACATCTGGGAAGCGTCTTGCTTCCATGGCCGAACTGTCCCTTTCCCGGTTTAAAGGGAAGCGGCGCGGCAACCGGGGCGTTTGATCGCCGCCGCTTCCCTGCGCCGGCTCACCCCCGGCCCGGATCCGAACTGCGCATGTCCAGACATGCGCAGTTCGGCCGGCCCCCGGGTAGGGCGTGTTTTCTCCCCGGCGTTTGATCGCGCCGAGGAGAAAAGGCGGCGCGGCCGGGGGATCCGTGAGATCCCGCTGCGCCGTGTCAACATTGGCGCGGCTTTTAAAAGCCGCGCCTTCAACCGCCTTTTCCCCTGCGTGTGGCAGGGGCCTATGAACCTTAATGCACATTGCATCCCTAGTAGCAAAAAGTGCACATCTCTTTCCCCCACCATTTTCAGCAATAAACACTGTGAGTGAAGAAGTGTAGATCTACTTTTCAGCCTCAATCACATCCTCCTTTTGAATCTGCAGGCTTGAAAAGGAGAATTTTATTCATTATCTTAATTGGGTGAGCGCTTTTATAGCGTCCCAGGTAATAATATTCTATGAAACGTGGATATACAATAGTTTCCCTAGCACCATTTTTTCCAATTTAAATTGGCCCCCAACCTCTTTGCTCTGTGAAGGCTATGGCTGCCAGTCTCCAGTACAGCCTGAAATTCTCCCAGAATTATAAGTGATCTCCAGATTATAGAGATCAGTTCTTTTTGATGAAATGGCAGCTTTGGAGGGCAGACTGTATGGTATTATATATCCCAGCCAAATTCACTCCTGTCCCCAAACTCCACCCTTTCCAACCACTGCCCCCAAATCTCCAGAAATTTCTCCAGCCAAAACTGGCAGCCCTAGGAGGGTGGACGTCTAGACATCCAAATGGTATCTATGTTCTTCCCCATGGGCAAAGTGTAGCTTTGGGAGCAATTTGAGACGTTAAAATGGCAAAGGGTACAAAGATTAAAAACCCCTCCCCTAGCTCTGAGGCTCTGATTGGGTTTGCCGTCCCCTATGGCTACTTTGATCTACTGCCCCTTGCCCCAAAAGGCAGCAACCCTAAGAATAGATTTCCCCTGACATGTCTAGTCTAGTAGAGGTCCAAGGCTAAAACAGTACTGTACAAAATAACACTTACCCTGTCATTGATGGAAGTGAGGGCAGTGGCACCTTTAAGACCAACAAAGTTTAATTCTGGGTATAAGCCATGTAGTAGATTTTTATCCCACCATTCCTCAGAGCTGAGTACATGATTCTCCCTTCCCCATTTTATCCTCATGACCACCCTGGGAGATAGGTCCAATTGAGAGTGTGTGACTAGCCCACAAAATTACCCTGTGAATGTAATAGTTCTGTGGGGATTTGTATCCTGTCTCCTAGATTCTAGTCCAAAACTGTTATGCCACACTGACTACTGGTCTATTGTACATGCTCATTTACACGCACACAAACACACATTTTAATGTTATATTGTCTAGCAATGAAATTGGATTCTACCTGCAGATTATCCATTTCTCATTCCACTTTTTCTCTTTTTGCAGAAAACGATTGGAGAAATTCTTGCTTCTCTGGAAATTGCCAGCCGATTTGAAACCATCTTAGAAGTAAGAATGTTTCCTCCCTTGGTAGATGACTGCTGAGTTAGTATTGTGGCATTCTACAAGGAACTTTGGTGGTGGTGGTTATGTACTGCTTTTGTTTTTTAATTACCTATTTAAAACAAATGAAATTACCTATTTAAAAAAAGCTGTACCAGAAAATTGAGGGGGGGGGGCAAAAGAGTCAGTTGTGTAAATGAAGAAGGATATTTTGCTGCCTTTAAAAAACAAAAGAGTTTTTAAATTATTATTTATGAAAAACTTACTGAAGGCAGTCACAAGGCCATAATTCAGCATAGGAACCCTGGACAAACTGTATACATATGTGTGTGTGTGTGTGTATATAAACACACACACACACATTTAAAGTCTTTTATTTTCCTGATCCATCATGAATTTTAGACAAGAGTGATCTGTGCTTCATATTTACAGAACTGTGGTCTGCCTTCATTTCTGAATGGTCCCGGACCTTTCACTGTATTTGTACCAAGTAATGAGGCAGTGGATAAATTAAGAGATGGAAGGTTAATTTATCTCTTTACCAAGGTGAGGCCATCTTCTTCACTAAATATACTGGACAATGTTTTTTGTAATCAAAGAGATATTTGTTGCCATACTGCCTATCTTGCCTTGACAAGAGACAAGGAACTTCTCTGCTGGATTTAGCAGGCAACTCCATAGCACTACTGCATTGGTAGATTGTTACGTGTGTCATGGCTGCATGAATGCCACAGGCACTCATATACTCTCTTCGGTTAAGGAATTTTGTGATGTGTGAATTGGCCACTAGGTCAGAGACATGTTGGCTGACTTCAGATATAGCAACACACCATGATATGAGAACAAAGTTTGAACACTATGGTTTAGGGAAGTATAGTTCAAAAAATGTCATTTTAATTTTAGGATGTTTTTTTTAAAGGGCATGATTTTTGTCATGCTGAAATTTCCGGCGGTTGTTTTCATTTTTGTACTTATTTTAGGGCACAGTTTTCAGGTTATGGAATTTGGACACTCAAAATTAAAAACAATTTGGAGGCAATTTGGCTCCCCTTCCGGTCCATGCAGCTGGAGTGGGGGGAGAGGAAGCTGACTCCAGCAAATAGCTGTCTGCTTGAGGCACCCAACCCTCACAGGAATCCACCCATCATTTTCTGACTGTTGGGGCAGGCTCTGGCAGTGCCAGTGGCAAAGACTGTAAATGGGAGGAAGCCCTGTAACATGGCCCCAGAACTGCCAGCAGGGCTGTGGGACTGGTTTGAACCTTCTGCTCCTTTTAAACTTCAGAGGGACATGTTGGGGGCAGGAGATGGCCTCTGCAAGTCAGCTTGAGGACTTCCAAGCTCTGCTATTTGTAGACAGTCCATGGTTTGTCGTTATGTCTGAATCAGCCATAGAGAACTATTTTGCATAAAACTATTCTTGTACCACACATCTGCCTTTGTGCTGTGTAGTGCCTGGTTCCAAACATATCCTTCTGAGCAAAAGAGTTTTAAAAAGGAGAAAAGGACAAATTTTAGCTCATGTGGTTGTGCAGAAATGCTTGTAAGTATACAATAACGGTCTTGAAAGGTCAAGGGGTGACTCTTCTGTATCTAGTGTATTTTCTTTACTTCTCTGGCCTGTCACCTTACCTCTCTTTTATTCTTTCTCTCCTGTACCTTCCCTTTTTACCCTTTGTTACCTTGGTCTTCCTGGATATTCTGACTTGCAAAAAAACCCAAAGGATGGTATGAAAAAAATGCCTGTTAGGAGCATTTGTTTGTTTTTTAAACTGCAGAATGTGAAAATATTGGTTTCCTGGTACGTAGAGCTTGAAAATGGTGAGGATGCAAAGTTGTTCTTGGCATATCTAGGCAAACTAGTTTCCATCCTTTGGTATTTGACAAAGAAATCCTGTTTCCAAATGCACAACTGAAGAATAATCTGTATGTACAAACATTTGTGTTTTCACTTGTCATTCGTACCCTTTATTGCAGTTTTGCAAAAATGTCTGTATAATTGCTGTTTCCTGCTTTAGGGAATAAACAAGCTTCAGGAAATTGTAAAATATCATATCTACACAGCAGCAACGGTAAGGTTTCTCTGTTTCCAGTTTATGGGGTTCATTTGGCCAGAATGGAGAATCAAATCATTTCCGTGACATTCCTCCTGTTCTTAGGCTTCCCTAGGAGCCCAACACCAAAATATGACAACGAGGCAACGAGGGACAATTTTCTTGTAATGATGATCTCTTAGGCTGTACATAAATATACCAATTCAGTTTGCAGATGGTCTTTGGGTACTGCGAATATTATTATCCTTTTTCTTTCCTTTCACCCTGTGATAGAGAGACTGACAAGTGTTCCATTTTTAGAGGGTTTTCAGTAGTCAGTCGTCAGGGAGACTTGAACTAATTTTCAGATTTGGAGTGGTATAATGTCAAGCCTAATCAAAACCAACAGGTCTGTTCAAAGGAATGAGGTGCAGGGTGTAGACTTTCCAATTTCCCGGGGGGGGGGGGCTGGGGCTGGGCCAGAGGCATTGCTGTGCTAGGAGCAAGGGTGGCTCCCGGGGGAGGCTGAGCACCTTTCTGAAAATTTCGGCGGGGGCTGAAGCCCCGCCGCCCCCACGAAGATTACGCCTTCCTGAGCTGAAATAGAAAAGTTTCTAGAAGGGTGAGGTGCAGACGGGAAACGATACCCACATGACTTGAAACGTCCTCCCAACTTCTTGTTCCTATCTGGCTTTCACCATGAGACACAGAATGGCTACCTCACTCCGGAAAGCCAAACATTGTGGTAGTCTAAATGAACATAGCCAATGTTAAGAGAGTGCTGGATCAAGACTCAGGGTCCTCCAGACTATATAAGTAAAATACACTTTATATTTTCCAGGTGACAGTGGAGAGGCTAACAGTGATGCCACATATTATGACTATGGCAAATCAAATACTGACAATCAATATCACTAAGGATGTAAGTACCTGAACCTGTTCCCCCATCCAGTGGAGATAAACTATGGGAAATTTAGATAAATATTTGTGGCTTTGACTGAGCCTATACTTAATTTTCAAGATGTTTAAGCAGATTTAAATGTATCAGGCTATTAATCTTCATAAATATGACTTTGTTCGGTAATGAGTAGATGTTTTAAACTTTTCTGTCGAAGTGGTAACTAGAGCTATGTGTGTGTGCATGCACATGTATTTCCCCCCACCACCAATTACTTCTGGTAGGAATGAGCCAGATCCTGAAATAGTGTTTCTTTCACCACAGGGAAGAATTCTGTTGGGGGACCCTGGTGTTGCCTTAAACAAAAGGAATATTTTAGCGTCAAATGGTATCATTCATACTTTGGATGGCATCTTCATTCCTCCATCAATAATCCCCATTCTGCCTCACAGATGCAGTGAACAGCAATACAAAGCTGTAGCAGTAAGTCCAGTCTACCCAGTCTTTCTCCATCTCCTGGTATCTCTTTCTCCTGTATTATAACAGGAAAATCCTGTGCTGATCCTGTCCTCACAATATGAACTCTGCTGGCTCTCACTCATCCCCTTGTGCTAGCTAGATGGTGGTTTGTTGCTAAGTCCAGCCAGCCTTTCTTCATGCAGCTTTCCTGGGAAGTCAGGTGTTTCCCTCAGAGAAATCCACTCTCTTGACCTGAGACTGGCAGTGCAATCCTGTGCAGAGTTACTGCTGTCTAAGGACATTGAAAGCAATGCGCTTAAACTGGAATAACCTGCCTTAGGATTGGACTGTAAGAGTATAATTTTTTGGTTTCATGTGCATGTGCATGTTCTTCCACATTATACCCATGACATCCATGATTTATATAGCATTTCAGTTTCTCAGAGGACATTAAGTTGCGGTTTTTATGTGAGTCAGCCCTTCTCGCTGACACAGTTCCTGCCAACTGATCTGATTATGTTTCATCACCTGGTTTAGAAACATCTGCTTCCTGTTGGACAAGCAGAAAGGGCTTCTAGGCACAGGAGTTGCATGGTCACAGTCATAGTCATAACAGCTGAACAAGCAGATATTTCACTAGGGGTTTAAAAGTGGCATCTTTTTATTTATTTGAGAATGAAGTCTGCTGGAAGCGTTCTCTTTTGACATTGCTGCTGGTCCCTGCAGGGGCACAGACATTCAAAGGCATTTGCTGCTATTTATGGCATGAAGCAACACAGAGGGATGGCGAAGTAGCATGGGATGAATGCTTGAGGGTCTGGGCTGCTTCCACCCAGTGAGAACTCTTAAGAACATTCAGGAAGTGCAACTTTCCCCCTAATCGTATTCCTGCGATGGAAGAAATGTGGGGATCATTCATGTGCCGGATTTTACAGCCCCTCCCCCACCATCTTGATTTGAAAATCCTTGTTTTGATTTCACTTCCCCTTTGTGCCATTTTCTGTTTCTTCATTCCAAGTTTTGTTCCCGTTGGAAGTAATATATCATTTTTTAAAGTCTGCTTTGTATGAAAGGCATAGAACCTTTAAAAAGGGTTAAAGGAGACAAACAAATCCGGAAACGGCAGAAACAAGCATAGTCAGAATGTAAAAGGCTCCCAGTGGTCTCATATAAAAATAAATGAAAAGGCATATTTGTACATCCCTGGAAAAACTGATCTAGTATTCTGTCCATCTCCACTAAGCCCTTAAAGAGACTGGAGGCCTTTCAGCTCTTATGGAATGTGATCAGTCTAATATTTGGAAGGAACAATGGCTTTATCATAAAGGTGATTACTTGTCTGGCTAAAAACGATTTGATGGTTGAGTTTTCTTAAATCATTATCTTTATTTGGCTGCTGTCTTTCTGCACCTTTAGTAAGGAGGAGGGGTAGAGCCAGAGGTGCTTGCTCTGCTTATGCCTGGACTGCTCTCTCCACCAGCAGGAGGCAGCTCCTATGAGGCGGGTGCAACAGCAGTAGCCACTTTAGCACCCACTCCCTTGCTCAGCTGCCACCGTCAACCTAGTAGGATTCCAGGGCTTTTTCTGTAGAAATAGCCCAGCAGGAACTCATTAGCATAATAGGCCACACCCAACAGCAGAAACTCATTAGCATAATAGGTCACACCCCATGCCTCACCTTGGCTTGCCCGGGCACCCTGTGGCTGCGGGGAGCCTGGGCAAGGCCCCCCTTGAAAGGAAGAGAAGGCAGTTTAAACTGCGGAAAGCCTGGGCAAGCCGGCCCTGGACACACTGGGGAAGGCACGGGGAGGCATTTAAATACCTCCCCAATCCTTTCAGGCCTTCCCTCTGTAGCCACGCACGCAGAGGTTTTGGCTGTGGTGGGCGTGGCCAACTCTGAAGCCAGCCGGAACTCTGTTCCTGTGCTTCCTGCCCAAAAATAGCTCTGGGATTACCAAGCCGGGCCAAGAGTCATGTCGCTTGGGCTGGTAATGTTATGTGAGCCACTCATGTGACACAGGCTCCTGGGCGATTTTAATTCCCAGTCTTCCCCTCTTAGTGGGCTTTGGCATGGGTAACTGCTTGCGTGTTCCTATTTGGAGATGCCTGCCATTACAACAGCAGGTGACCAATTGGAGAAACTGTTGCTGTGCTGCTGTGTTTACCCTTCATGGCTGCAGATTGATGGGGCAACCTCCCCTTCCTGAAAAATGGCAACATGATAAAATAAATACGCAAGAAAGAAAAAAGCCAGTTTGTCAATGGCATGGTTTACTTCACGGATTATTTGACAGTGTTTTATTACTGTGCCAACCCGTGTTACTGAGCACTGTCCTTGAAGTGTACCTCATATGAGCACATCCCTGTGTAGACTTGGGGAAAGGTCAAGCCCTCTTCATTGTCATATAATTTGGAGGAACTACCTAGGGCAGTGGTTCCCAACCTTTTTGGTAAGGTGACCTGCAAGTCCAAATTTACCTGGTATAATGATCCACTTTTTTTTTTTTTAAAGCACAGATCGTGTACAAATCCATAAAGCTGCAAAAAGCCAGGGACCCACTTTCACAAGCTTTGCGACCCACTTTTGGGTCAGGACCCACAGATTGGGAAATGCTGGCTTAGACCATGGGGTCTGAGTAAAACCAGTTCTGAGACTCTGAAGACCACTGCAAAAGCTGAAAGTATATAGCAGATATTTTCAATGGCAAACTTAAGTGCAGGGATCCTAGCTGCTACTTGTCTGTTGCAACGTAGCAGGGATGCTGGAAGATTTACAGTATGAAAGTAACAATTTGGAGGGTGTGCTTAATCCTGTGTCAGTACCCTGCTGAGTTTGCACGTGCCTGTTTGCTCCACAAATGCTTAGCCTCCAAGCACTCACTAGTCTATTGAACAGGCTGAGTGTCATTGACTTATATCTGACTGCTTTACATTTATGGGCAAGGTGTAAGAGAATGGGCAATAGGTTCGACAGTGCACATAGTAACTCTGCTTTAGCCAGTGTATGTGAAGCCAGGTATGAACTCGGGTGTGTCCCATAACACAGTCAATAAAGAAAGCTTTCCTAATCTTGGTTTTCATTACAGGGATCTTGTGTTGACTGTGATGCCCTCAATACAAGTGTTTGCCCACCGCAAAGCACACCTATGGTAAATAATTCTTATTTTTGTTTATGGTGATGGTGCTGATGCTAAGATTCTCTCAACAAGGTTCTAGCTTCTTTGAAAATACTGGACATCTGCAGTGCAATCCTATGCATGGTTATTCCAGGCTTAGACTGGAGCAACTGAATGGAATTGCACTGCCACGCCCCTTGAGTTAGCAAAGAAAGGGGGAAGCAGAACGAACTAATAGTGTTGTTCAATCCAGAAATCAACTGCATATCTATCCCTACGGCAAAAAAAATTTGTGATCTAAGATTCCTATGATAACTGGAATTCATTAATAGCACCAAAGCAGGAACTCACCCGAATTTGGAAGTTTGGGTTCAGAAGCTTTCTATGCATTGTAAACCTTGCTGCATGTCTATTTTATTTTATTAACCTTTATGCTTTAAAAAGTAAGAATATCAAAACAGAAACAATAAAAATGCACCTTGAAAAAGTACTCACCTACAAATTAGATGTTATTAAAAGCATGGGAAACAGTGTGGATTTCATCTGGTGCTTTAAAGATAGAATTGGCACTGGCAAATCTAGCTGGGGAGGAACTTCCATATCTGAGGCAGCTCCACAGCTCTGACCTTTAAGAAAGACCCCTGACGCAGACCTTAATTGTTCCATAGCAGTGGGGTATGAGAAGATCATGGTGCCATATTGGCACAGGCAGTATCTGTGACTGTATGTCATGCTTACAGGTTCATCCTTCTAAAGATGTCAGATCGTGATAAATTCAGTAACTGAATCAGATCTCTAGTGCTCTGTTTGTCTTTTTTTTTTCTTTTTAGAAGGAATGACCTTGTCAGGAAAAAATAATTGTCTTACATTGTGCCTTCAGAAATATTGGTAGCATATAACATATATATACACATTTGAAACTGTGGCTTTTTAGTAGCACTAGTGTTGTCAATCCCCCAGTGGATCTCCTGCCCCTAGCTTCTGTTAACCACCACAGCTCAGAGTTCCCTCAGAAGTGATGTCAGTCCTCTCTAGAAATCACCAAAAACTCTATGGTCTTACCATAGTCTCCACTGATTCCTGAAGAGGCATGATGTCACTTCTGTGGTTTTCCAGGTAGTGCCATCAAGCCATTGCCAATGCCTGCCCCCCCCCCCGTCTCTCCTGGGTTGCCAGGCCAAGCCTGAAAGTCTAAGTAGCACTCTCACAGCACTAGGTTATTCTAGGTAATTGACCGTAATGTTCATTCTCATTTCCCAAGAGTCATTAGAGCTGATTCAGTATTGTCTTTCCTTCCTCCATTTCTCATGGTGAAAGGATGAATACTGTGTGATGCGCTGGCTCCTTACCAAAGAAATTTGTTTGCAACACAGTTTCAATTCTTGCCACACCCCCTATTGTTCTGCCTTATCATGAGGTGAACCTGCAGACTATGCCGAACCGCATGATCCATAATGGTGGTCAGAAGAGGAAACTGTCATGTGTTTTTTGCTGACAGGCATGCAGAGTAGCCTAGTTCACCTTGAATCCCCAGTGAACTTCCTCTAGCAAACAAGATATTATAGAAGTACATGGAAAATACTCATAAGCCACTTTATTTCCAAAGGAACATGGGATCTTCCCAGGAGAATGTGTTTATATCCACGATCCTTTGGGCTTGAATGTTCTGAAGAAAGGTTGTAGCAGATACTGCAATCAAACTGTTGAGGTAAATACAAACTACAGTATAAAGGCTCAAAAATATTAATTATGGGATTGTATTTTTGCATTACATATACCTGTCAGACCCATCCCCAAACCCCCTAATCCTTCTCCCACTGCCCCTTATGAAACATGCTCTTGGTCTGGCAGTTTAACAAGCCTCTCCCTAGTGAGTTTGTAATATGTTTGCATACGATTTCTCATTACATTTTGTATTGGGACCAGCATACCTGGGGCAGATTTCCCCACTCACCCATGTTCAAGGATATTGTCTGTTAAAGCTGGATCATGAGTTGAGGCTGTCATTTCCAAGGACCATTGCCCGTTTCCCTGCATCACCTGTCAACCACCTTTGATGTGGCTATAAATGAGCAGCTGGTAAATTCGCCATAGAGATACCAGTCCCCATGGCAAAAGTATGTAGCCTAACTGAGGAAAATCTTCTGCTCCTTTATCTGATTTTGGCCATCTGGTTCTGATTTCGGATAATGGTAAAAGTTATACAAATGGACCTGGGTGTGAAATGCATTTCCATTAAGTTCAGATCATTCCTACTTGTAAAAGATTATGTATACCACCCTGAGCCCTTTGTGGGAGGGCAGTTTATAAATAAAAAAGAAAGAAAAGAAAGAAAGATGAACCTGTTTAGATGAAGGCAATAACTATTGTGTGGCATAACACATTACTATAAGAAACATAAGGATGATTTGCTAGCAAGAAGGCATAGCAAAGAAAAACATTGGTCACATCACAGTAAGGTCATTAAGAAACTGTCAGAAAGCCTACTACATAATTTGCTAGCAATGCCATAATTCCACAAGACTCCACCAAAGAGTGCAACTGGTTTATCTGAAGAAGCATTTCCCCCCTTCGCAGTATACACATCTGTGGGTCAAATTCCTCCGGAGGAAATAGCCTCGCTTCCCCCCCCCCCGGGGGTTTTCTGGCGCATATGATACATATATATTCATTACATAGCATATTTTTAACATAGCATGTTTTCAACAATGATCATACATTCCTTTTCATAATTGCTACTGCTTTTGGAAGAGAAGAACTGCAGGCATAAACATGGATCCAGCAGAGCAGATTCATTCCTTGACTTTAAAATTAAATAAGGGGTTAAGAGATGGAGCCCATATGAAAAGCACATCATTTGTTTCTACATAAGGGCTAATAATAGTTCCTCTGAGAGATATAATTAATGTCTTTGTAGATTCCTGGATGCTGCAAAGGATTCTTTGGGCCAGATTGTGCTGCTTGTCCTGGTGGATTTACCAATCCGTGCTATGGAAAAGGGAAGGTAAACAGGAGGAAAAATTTCCTGTACAGTTGGAAAGACTTTTTGATGGCATTACATTGATTATTACTTTGACAGTGGAAACATTACTAATGTACTAATTCGAAAGTGGCTTCTGCTTAAACCACACCTTGATGAATTAGTACTGTCAGGAAAATGTTGTTCACGTATATTGTTCTGAACTTTGCAAAGGCCAATGAAACACAAAAGTCATCCCTAGATTTGAAATAAACACACGGCTTCGTTCTTTAGACGTGGTTAGACTAGAACATTTATGGTTGCGTCATGAATGCAGAAAAGAAAATATTGCATAAACATCTCCAGAAGTACAGGAATTATATAATCATAGGAGCAGCCCTACTAGATCAGAGTACCCTGACTCTGAATGGCCCTCCCCCCCCCAACCTTTTGCATTCACTCCCTGCTTGTGAGCTTTCCAGAGGCTGAGCGCTGTGACAAAACAGAATGCTGAACTGGATGAGCCTTTGGTCTGATCCAGCAGGATTCTTCTGATGATCTTATTCACTTCATGATGCAGTGCAGTTGCACTCCATTTGCCATGAGTGTGTCCAGTATTCATTCCTTTGTAGCTGAAGCACTCTTCAGAAAATATATCCAGAGAGTCAATTCAGGTGGGTTGCCGTGTTGGTCTGAAGCAGCAGTTGGAGTCCAGTGGCACCTTTAAGACCAGCAAAGATCCTGAAGAAGTATGCATGCACATGGAAGCTTGCACCGTGAATAAAACTTTGTTGGTCTTAAAGGTGCCACTGGACCCAGACTTTGATATCCAGGGAGAAAACACCAGCTCTTCTATAGATGCAGCAGAATGAGGTAGCTGAATGGTCTGTGCCACTTTGGAATGTTGGTGGGGGAGGGTCTACATGATTGTATGCTATGCGCCATCCAGTCAGTTCTGACTTATGACAACCCTATGAATTAATGACCTCCAAAATGTTGTATCATTAGCAGCACTGATCCAATCTTGCAAACCAAAGGCTATGGCTTCCTTTATTGAGTCAATCCGTCTCATGTTGGGTTTTCCTCTTTTCCTAATGCCTTCGATTATTCCTAGCTTTTTTGTCTTTTCCAGTGACTCTTGTCTTCTCATGATGTGGCCAAAGTACGATAGCCTCAGTTTGGTTATTTTAGCTTTTAGGAAGAATTCAGGCTTGATTTGATCTAGATTCTAGAACCCACTGATTTGTCTTTTTTGGCAGCCTGTGTGAAACTCTCATCAAACACTGCATGCCAAATTAATCAAGTTTCTTAGTGTTCTGCATATAACAACTCCCTGCAGGAAAAGGGAGTTGCATCCCACAACATGCTGTGCCAGTTTTCCACTTGCAGAGGAGTATTAAACTAGAGGAATTTTGAAAAAATCTAATTCCTCAAATGCCTTGCAAAGTGGTGGTGCAATCCATTCTGCCATCCTCTGCTACCTCATTCTTCTGCATGTACAGACCAGGCAAATGTCTATAGAGGGGGAAAGTGAATGAATGCACTGCTTTCTTAACATTCCCAGTCGCAGGAATGGAACTTACATGTGTAGGAACATGCTGATGCTCCAAAGACCATTTGAAGCAGAGCCAGCACATTCAGTTGATAGAGGGAATGTTAATTCCTGTTCCATATCTACACAAGTTGGCTTCTCCTTGGATATGTCGTCTGATGAGGGCTTCCAAGTTTTGTGAATGAATGTAGCAAAGTTCTCAATGGAGTTAGGTAGCTAGCAGAAAGAATAGTTGTATGAAGCAAATTCTGTAAATTCATTCGGGGAATCAAGTCCTGCCCCCAAGCTCAATTTTGTCTACATTGTCCATCAGTTAAAGCCTCTTCTTTTGGAACATTGTTTCCCCTTTATCATGCTGGATTTTGTTTTTCCTCTTCAGTGCATTGATGGGATTCGAGGGAATGGCCAGTGCCGTTGCTTTGAAGGTTTCAAAGGAATTGCCTGCCACATCTGTTCAAACCCAAACAAGTATGGGGAGAGTTGTGATAAAGGTCTGTGACTTGGAATGTGCAGGAAAGCAGCCTCTGATATGTGTCAGGAAACTGAAGGCAGGGTGAATCCAGAATGGGGAAATTGAAGATGATTTCCAGGAAATGTTACTTAAGAATAACAATAGGCTAATGTTAGGACAGGTGGGTTTTAAAAAAAAGAAATGTGAGAGTTTTCAAATAGGGTTGCCAACTCCAGCTTAAAAAATTCCTGGCGATTTGAGGGCTGTGCCTGGAGAGGGCAGGGTTTGGGGAGGGGGAGCTCAGAGGCAATGATGTGATATCACATCCTATAATGGCATATCTTGTGATGACATATCCAGGTAAAAGACAACCTCCTCCGATTCTTCCCCTTCCGGAGAGGTCAGTTCCTCCCGCCAAAATTCAAATTCAAATTACTGGCTTCATATAACTCCCCCTGCCCTTGTAAGCTTCTGTATACATGTGTGTTCACTATGTCATAATAATCCTTTGATCCTAACTATTTGTGCTGGTTTAACTGGCTGGTATCCTGTCGAGTTCCACTTAGCCTGAAAAACCTTCTTAAAATTCTCTTTGGATCTTTCTCAATGTTAAGACAAAAAATTAATTCTGAAGCCCAATAGGAAGACACCAGCCAACAGCAGTCCCATCCCAACTGGCCTCTGGCCTTTAGTGTCTTTAGTGTCTTTACAGGTGATCCATTAGTTTCTCCTAGTCTCTATAGTATAATTCAGAATCTCTACGGTCTATCATAAAGAAGTCCTAGATATGCCACCCTCTGTAGCCACATTCTGAAGCTTGCCAATTTCTCCAGGGTAACTGATATCTGTAGTCCGGCAAATCTCTCCTTATATATAATTGAATAGTGGGTGCCAAAGTTCTAAAATGCACTCCTTTAGTGTATGGACGCTTGAACTGTCAGTCAGAAGACGCTGGCTGGGTTGACTGGCTGCTTTGTGCAGTCCCGCCCAGCGTTTCAAGGTCTTTTGCATATGGAAGCTGATTGGACTTCACTGCATTCCACACCTCAAACTCACCCCCCTCCCCGCAAGGCAGTTGGAATGTCAGTTGCATATGGAACCTTCAAGGTCTTTTGCATATGGAAGCTGATTGGACTTCACTGCATTCCACACCTCAAACTCACCCCCCTCCCCGCAAGGCAGTTGGAATGTCAGTTGCATATGGAACCTTCAAGGTCTTTTGCATATGGAAGCTGATTGGACTTCACTGCATGCCGATGCCTCCGTCGCCTGGCTGGAGTGGCCGCGGGGGAGTCTGGAGTCGGGCGGCCGCTGGTGGGAGCCGCGGGTGCCCGGGCCGAGATTGGGGGGGCAAGGCGGGCGACAGAAGGCCGATGCCTCCGTCGCCCGGCCCTCTACAGAATCCACCCCCCAAACCTCCAGGTATTTCCCTCCTTAGAGCTGGCAACCCTACATTCCCCTCAGTGCCTGTTGGTAGGCAACTAAGCTTGGTCCTGTCACCTACTTTGGCCTTTGGGAGAAAACACATTGGGGCCAATCCTGATAGGGTTGCCAACTCCAGATGGGAAATTCCTGGAGATTTGAGGGATGGAGCCTGAAGAGGGTGAGGTTTGAGGAGGGGTGGGACCTCAGACAGGTACACTGCCATAGACTCCACCCTCCAAACCAGTCAGTCTCACATAGGGAACCATTGTTGCCAATCTCCAGGTGAGGGCTGGAGAGCACTCAGTATTACAACTGCTCTGCAGAAGGGAGGGCAGAAGTCAGCTGAAGTCAAAGGGGCAGATAATGGTAGGTTGGTGGCTAGCTGGGAAGGAGATGGGGTTGCCAACTACATGCTGACAAATTCCTGGGGATTTGAGGGGTGGAGCCTGGAGAGGGTGGGGTTTGCAGAGGGGTGGGACCTCAGACAGGTAGAATGCCATAGACTCCACCCTCCAAACCAGCCATTTTGTCCTGGGTAACAATTGCTGCCAATCTCCAGGTGAGGGCTACAGATTACTCACAATTACAACTGCTCTTCAGGTAGCAGAGATCAGTTCCTCTGGAGAAAACAGTGGACTCTGTCATTATACCCTGCTGAGGTCACCACAGCAAATTGACACTGTTTGCCCAAAGCCAGAGCACTGCCCCAGAGCCTCTTTCTAGATCCCGTTGTATTGCTTTCACAACGGGCTTTACTGCTAGTCGTTCATAATTCTGACAGAACTCCAAGCCCATTTTAAGCTTGACAACCTATTCAAATTGCAAAGGATAAAATGTTTACCAGTACACTGATATTTTTCAATTTGCTAAAATATGTTTTCCACATTGCATTGCTTGTCTGTGTTTTCCTTATTTCTAATGAAGCTCCCAGTGTGGTTCATTGGCAACAGGGGATCCACACAGTGAGTTAAAGTGCTGCTACCCCAATTTCTGTTTGCAACTTTCTTTACACACAACACCTTTCGTGGGTGTGTGTTGTAGCAATACAGTGGGATGCCAGGACCATAACAAATGCCCACAACTACATCCCCCTCCCCCCAAATCATATGTGCTTTGTTACTGATTGGCTTCTTCTTTTCCCACAACTAATAACTTTTTTTCCGTTGGCTGGACAGTGAACCACCCCCCTTTTTCAATTGCAAGTAATGCCCTCAGCAATGTTTTAGTTTAGCTTGGCAAAATCTGCAAAGATCGTGGCTGATTTTTGTACTGGTTATCCAAGAGGAGGAAGGCTACTTAGGAAATAACAATCACCATAAAGCTGCAGGGGACCTAGTGGTAAATGGCAAGGTAGATTTACTGAATGCAGCACCCAGCTGGTCAATAATCTCTTGTTTGAACTCAGACTGATATTGGGGGGGGGTGTCCTTCTCTCTGTGTATCTTTCTTGGAGGTATCATTCAACAATAAACAATTGTGGTATATGGCACTATGTCGGTAAACATTCCTTTTCCCCATTTTTTCCCACTTTATATGGGGGAAAGATCACAATTAGTGCAACAATCCATCTACAAGGGAATTTATTTGTGTCCCTAGCCTGGGAGGGAGCTGCTGTTTGCTCTGTTGGGAAATTAGGCTAGCCATTTCCTTGCTGGGGGTGGCAGATCTCCTGCTTCCAGTGCCAGTTGCCCACTGGCACTCCAGCAGCTGGCAGGAGGAACTGCTGGAAAAAATAAAAAATCACAGTTTTACACCACTTCTATATTACACTGCCAGAGCCAGTGTGGTATAGTGGTTAAGAGCAGTGGACTCTAATCTGCACTCCTCCACATGAAGCCAGCTGGTTGACCTTGGGTCCCCCCCCCCTAAATCTAGCTCGCAAAAAGAGTTAGAACTTAAGGCTGCCAGACAATCTTCAGATCTCCTGGCTATATCACACACAACGCTATACGATAATTAATTAACCACTTCTGGGAGAAACCTGGAAGGGACATCACACTGTTGTAGTAATCACTGGAAACTCTATGCCAGTTCCTAGAGAGGTATGACATCATGTCTGGGTTTTCCCTGGATGTGACATAACACCATTGCTGTATGGCGTCCCCCATGTCCCTCCTCCAGAATACTTTAGAAAGTATTATGTGTATTCAAATAAGTGACTTCAGTTTTCCACTGGAACAAATAGGAGCTACCCAGGGACATTTCAGACTGTGAAAACAGTACATTGTGGGGAGAGGCTGAAGAGATTGGCTTTGTCCCTAAGGGGAAATAAGACCAATGAGCTAGCATGGTATAGTGGTTGGACCAAGACGTGGGAAATGTGGGTTCAGATCCCCACTCTGTCATGAAATTCGCTGGGTGACTTTGAGCCCATCATTCTCTCACTCCCTAATCTACCTCACAGAGTTTTTGTGAGGATAGCATTTTTTTACTTAAGGTTTGCTATAGAAATATGGAAGTATAGTTATTGCTATTGTGATGACTGAGCTAAAAGTTTCTTCTTAATCCATTTGATAGATTGTGGCTGTGTCCATGGAATCTGTGATAATAGACCAGGAAGCGGGGGAGTGTGCCAGTCCAAGACATGCAAAGCTGGATACAGTGGGGAATTCTGTGACAGGAGTTCTGACAACTGTGGGCCTGCTGGTGCCTCTCTAAGCTGTCATCGGAATGCTGTCTGCAGCTTGAATGACACTGCAAGGTGGCTATTTCTGCACTGTTGTTGGTGTTTCTGTGGACTTTGCTAACATGGGAATTACAGCCCTAACAGTTTTTGAGTTGTGATATGTATGTCTCTCTGTGTGTGTGTGTGTGTATACACACTTCCACCACTTGGAAATTGCCTGCTGCATGGTCACTCATTCCTCTTCCCTTACTTAGAAGGAATTATCGTATTGTTGGGATAGGATTCCCAAGCAGTGGCTGGCAACCAGCGGGAGGGTTGTGGGTGAGGTTGTGGGGGGCACGACGTCAACTGAGGCACTGTTTACCATAGAGTTTCCATAGGGTTTACCATACAGTTTCCATAAATTCCTAGATCTAACTATGGTAAAACCATAGAGTTTATGGTGGTTCCTAGAGCTACCTTATGTCACTTCTGCTTTTTGATTAGAAGTGATATAATGCTGCAGCTGGCATTGAGGGTATTAAAAAAAATTCTCCCACTGAGTGGTGGCAGGCAGTGGGAGTGGGGGTGATTCCTCACCCCCACCATGGGATTGGGACTGCTATGTTGAGAGCACTTACTGGACAGGTATGGAGAAAATGTTGTCTTTCTATCCTTCCCCCAAGCGGTTTTGCAAGGACGGAAAAAGAACAGTACCACAGCAGCACATACACTATGCATTCTGAAGTATTATTCTTTTTCATACATGCCTAAGAAAGACATACAGGTGTGACGACCTCCGACGGCATCTGGATCGAGGCGGTGTGGCGGCCCTGTTGTTGTTAGATCTGTCGGCCACGTTCGATATGTTCGACCATCAGCTGCTGACCCACCGCCTCGCCGACGTGGGGATTCAGGGGCTCGCCCTTCAATGGCTTACCTCTTTTCTCCGTGGTCGGGGACAAAGGGTGGTGATTGGGGAACAACAGTCTCGGAGACACCCTCTTGAATATGGGGTGCCCCAGGGGGCTGTTCTTTCCCCATTATTGTTTAACATTTACATGCGCCCCCTTGCCCAGATTGCCCGGAGGTATGGGCTTGGGTGTCATCAATATGCGGATGACACCCAGCTCTATCTGATGTTGGGCGGCCGGTCGGGCTCGGTCCCAGAAGATCTGCACCAGGCGTTGCAGGCCATGGCTGGTTGGCTCCGCCTGAGCCGGCTGAAGTTAAACCCGGCGAAGACGGAGGTCCTGGGCTTGAGCCGCGGTGGTCTGGGGTTGGGGCTCCCTCTCCCGACCTTCGATGGGGTGCCTTTGGTGCCAGCGTCGGAGTTTGGGAGTGCTCCTGGACTCCACGTTAACAATGGAAGCCCAGGTAGCAACCACTGCCAAGTCAGCTTTTTACCATCTTCGGCTGGTGCGGCAGTTGGTTCCCTTCCTCGACCGCGGTGACTTGGCCACAGTGATCCATGCGACGGTCACCTCGAGGCTAGACTACTGCAACGCTCTCTACATGGGGCTGCCTTTGTTGCAAATCCGGAAGCTGCAGCTGGTGCAGAATGCTGCGTCCAGGCTGCTGATGGGTCTTCCGAGTAGGGACCACATCCAGCCTGTGCTGAAAGCGCTGCACTGGCTGCCAATAGCGTACCAGATTCGCTTCAAAGTGCTGGTTCTTACCTTTAAAGCCCTATATGGTCAGGGTCCAGCTTACCTAAGGGACCGCCTTTCCTCATATGTTCCCCCACGAGCACTACGGTCTGGGACCCAACACCTCCTGGCGATGCCAGGTCCCAAAGAGGCCAAGCTGGCCGCTACCAGGGCCAGGGCTTTCTCGGTGGCGGCTCCTACCTGGTGGAATGAGCTCCCAGAGGTGATCCGGGCCCTGCGGGACCTGGTGCAGTTCCGCAGGGCCTGCAAGATGGAGCTCTTACACCAGGCGTACGAGTAGGAGCCACCACTACCACCATTACCATCACCATTGTTCCAACGTCCCTGGCCCTGGAAGAAGGGAACATCAGCGTCTTCCTGAACAGATAACCCTGAGTAGTAGACAACCCTGAGTAGTAGAGAAATTGCATACCATCTGCGGAATATCATAGGAGAACGCCAGAGCACTTTTGTTTAGTATAATGCTACTATAATGTTATTGTATTGAATTGATTTTAAATGGTTTTATATATGTTTTATATTGGCTTATGCCTCTTGTAAGCCGCCCTGAGTCTGCATACGCGGGGAGGGCGGGGTATAAATTGAATTAAATAAAATAAATAAATAAATAAATGTCTTGTAAGTCAGAGGGAGCAAGGAAAAGAGGGGACATAGTTTTGTTTGCAGTTTATTTTTCAACATTTTACCCTGCCTTTTAGCAGGCTGTTCACAAAGTGGTTTGTACAGAACATACAATTTTGTCTCTAAATGATATTGAGTGATTAAAAGGAAATACTAAAAAGACTGTCGTCGGAATGCACGTTTCTTATGATTCATCTGCACATTGTGTGCTGAAACTGAATGACAAAGCACTGCAAAAACCACATCACTACAGTTCCAAATAGGTTTTTCAACTCCAGCCTGGGGGGAATTATTTATTTCTTTATTCGATTTATATCCCGCCCTCCCTGCCAATAACTGAAGATCTGGGTGTGATGCCTGAGGAGGGTGGAATCTGGGGAGGAGAGGAAGATAAGCAGGGACACGATGCCACAGAGTCCACCTAGGGTTGCCAGGTCACCCGTGGCCACCAGTGGGGGCTCTGGGGTTGCCAGATCCAGGTTGGGAAACTCCCGGAGATTAGGGGATGGAGTTTGTGGAGGACAGGGAACTCAGTGGGGTACGACGTCATAGAGTCCACCCTCCAAAGCAGCCATTTCCTCTAGGGTAACTGATCTCTGTAGTCTGGAAATGAGCTGTCATTCCTGGGGACCCCCAGGTCCCACCTGGAGGCTGGCATCCCTATGTCTACCATCCAAAGCTGCCACTTTATCCAGGGTAACCAATTTCAGTAGAATGAAGATCAGTTGTAATTCCAGGTTGGTAACTCAAGGTCCGAATTTATGAATTTAACTGTTGCCTGTGTTTACCTCCAAGGTGCATCTGCCTTGATGGATACGAAGGGGATGGATTTTCCTGCAGTCCCATAGATGTCTGCACAAAACCAGAATATGTAGGCTGTTCAGAAAATGTGGGTAAAAGATGCTTTGGCTACTGCCAGATTAATTTTGTTTTATTTTTAATTTACTGGAAAAAATTTCTGTTGTATTAAGCAACTGAGTTCAATTGAAGTTCCACACTAGGTTTCCAGTCTCCTCCCTTGTACTTCCTGTTTCCTGTCCTATCAGACTACACCCCCCACCAAGCACTATTTCCAACTATGTTATTTATACCCACTACTGTATCTAAGATAGGGTTGCCAGAACTTACTTTGGCTGGAGCAGGGGACTTTGGGGGGCATTCTGGGAGTGGGTGAGGATGTTGCATGACATCCCTGACATGATGACATCACCCAGAATTCACGTCATCGCGTGGGGGACACTGGTATTTGGGCAAACTCTATGGGTTTTGGCCTTCAAACCATAGGGTTTGCCCAAATACCAGAGTGTGCGATGTCCCCAGCATGATGATATCACTTCCAGCTGATGACATCATGCCAGGGACACTGCCATGTGATGTCCTTGTTTGGGGATGGGGCATCCCCCACTGACCAACTGGCCGGCGGTGGGCTGAAGCCCCGGAAATCAGGGTTTTCCCCAGCACCACTGGGGGAATGGTAACCCTAATCTAAGAATGCCATAATTTCCTTCCCTTGTCCTATTATTATAATGCTTGCTTAATTTGTCTTTCTCCCATTTCTTACCAGGCCATATGTACCAGCACAGGTCCTGGCACAGCTACATGCCAGTGTAACAATGGCTGGACTGGAGATGGAAAGGCTTGCGTTGCCATAGACAACTGTGTAATGGAGAACAGAGGAGGCTGCCACACCTATGCGGATTGCCACTATATTGGGCCTGGACAGGTATAGCCAGAATACTCTGTTACTTGTTGAAAACTATCACTGGATGTCTGCTACAATGGAATATGAAAAGTGCAGATGTAGTCCAGGCTTATTGTAACCACAACAGTAGAAGTATACATTCCCCACTGAAGATATGTTTATTACTGTGATTAAAATCAGTCCATATCAACTGGACTCTAAATCTGTTTTACTGCATAATAAACTGTCATTAGAATACCATCTGCAGCTTGAATGATAATGCAAGGTGGCTGTTTGTGCATTGTTGGTGTTTCTATGGGCATTGTTAATGTGGGAATTACAATTTCTTCAGATGCAATGAATGCATCCTGAGGTCCACTTATTGCATCTGATGAAGAAATATCTAGCCCATGAAAGCTTATGCTAGTTTTGCTAGTCTTTCACAAGGTGCCTGTTAATTTTTGTATATTTCATAGTATCTAATCATCTAAGTACAACCCCAGTGCACATTTATTTCAAGAAGTTCACGGTTTAAGAGCAAAGTTTTCTTGTACCAGTGTGTTTCTGACTTTTAAGACGCAATTGAAGATATTAAAATGAAGGAAAAACTCTTGTAAACTTAGAGTGTGATGCTTTTGGAAGAAATTTTCGATGCCCAGTGGTAACAATGATGCCTCCTGTTTCTACTTTCAGAGCAGCTGTGTGTGCAAGAGAGGTTATAACGGTGATGGTTTTAACTGCAACCCTGTTGATCCTTGCTTGATGAACAATGGTGGCTGCCATGACTTCGTAAGAAAATTGAAATGTCTAGGAAATGCTGGCTGTGAAAACTAGTTGTCTGCTGTGTTTCAAGAGGCTGGAGACAGAGATAGTGATGTACCTAGCATATTTGCTGCCCGGAGCGTATCATTTTTTAACACCTCCCTCCTCTATACAACAAAATTATTTTCAGTAATAATCATGAAATAAATGCACCTTAGAGACAAAAAAAGAGTTTCAGGGAATAAGCTTTTGAGAGTCAAAGCTCCTCTGGATAGGAATGGAGATCCAACTTTTTCTAATCTCCCTACCTCATGACCCAGTGGGAAGTTCTCCTGTGCAACAGTGTTAGGCAAATTTCCCATGAGCTGCTGGCCCTTTAAAGAATGCCTGCCAAGAAGCACAGTGAAATCAATCAGAGGTAACACTGCTGGTAGCCAAATCCAGCTAAACTGGGTCATGGTGTTGCTACTGCAGATGCCTCCGTCAGATATGTCCGATCCAGATGCATAGTAATGCATGACCAGATAAATTTGGCGAATTTCGAATTTGGAGCACTCTCATGCCTTTTTGATTCTTCTGTCCACACCGTGTTCCCTGGCTTCGAACCTGGGTTATTCAGGGGCAGGTTCCCCCCCCCATCTCACGTGACAAATCCTTTGGCCTAACAGCTACAACCAAGAAATCGTTTTCTAGGTTAAGCAGAAATATCTAAGGCTCCCCCCGCTTTTTTCGAGACTGGATCGAGGTTTCGTTGTGTTTTTTAAAATATCAAACCAGCTTTGTTTGATGCTAGCCAAACAAAGGCAGTCCCATTGTGCAATGGGTTTCAATGGATTTAGAATGGTGTTACTCTGCTTAGGCTGCCTCTGTTAGCAATGTAAATTCTTCCTTAAGGGCTTTTCCATTTACAAAAAAAAAAAAAAAAAAGGACTTTAGATTTCGAGGACTCCTGTGCCCAGATTGTATGTACCTATGCTGCTATTGTTAAAGGCGCAACATGCACTTCTGGGCAGTTCAAGCTGAAATAATTGGGAAGGGGATGGAACACTCTTCAATGGGGCTTGTGCAGGAGAACTGGCTGGCTTGTGCCCCTCAAGACTCGCAGCCCGATCCTGCGCACGTTTACATGGAATCCTAAGCAGATCTACTCAGAAACCTGCTGGGCTCTAACCCACCACGAGCAGAGAGAAAGGCCTTCTTTTCAAACCTGAAATTACTACATGATGTTTGTTTGGCTTCCCAAAAATATTTGATACAAATTTCCATGACAATGGAATTCAAACATAAGGATTTTGAGAATATGAATTTCAATGGGGGTGGGGGGAGATAAAACTCAGGCAGCAAGCCTTAGGTCTACTCAGTTGTGAGTCATGTGGGGCTTGCTTGCTGGACAGCATCCTTGGGATTGCCACCAGGAGAACCAAGGGAATGGACTACATCCACCATGGTGGATTCAATACAATGAATGGAGCAAAAGCCTTCTGGAGTCGCAAAATCAATTCTATTCCAAACTGGGCCTCCGAAGAGCCAAGTCTGAGGGTCTAGTCTTCATTCATTCAGAAGTGAGGCTGCAATCCTAAGAGCACCTTCCAGAGAGTAAGCCCTACTGAGTAAAATGACACTTACTTCTGAGTAGACATGCTGGGACTGTTCCCTAAGTCCTGCATAAGTACCGTTGGGCTTACTCCTCACGTAAGTGTGGAAGTCTTGGAAGGCCCTTCTGGCAGCTTCTGTGAAAAGGGGATCCTGCTCCTTCTGGTGCCTTTGGAGAACAGTGGCTGTTACTTTCAAGTCAATGCAATACTAGAACTTGAGGGCACCCAGTGAAGCTGATGGGCAGTACGTTCAGAACGGACAAAAGGAAATATGACTTTACACAGAGAGTGAAAAAAATGTGGAATTCGCTGCCAGAGGATGCAGGGATGGCCACAGGAATAAACCGCTTTAAAAGGGGATTAGATAGATTCATGGAGGATAAGTCTATCAATGGCTACTAGCCATGGGGACTGAGGGGAACCTTCGCATTCAGAGGCACTAATCTTCTGAATATCAGAGCCAGGAGGCAACTTCAGGGGAAGGCCTCGGCCTTTATGCCCTGTTGTTGGCCATCCAGAGGAACTGGTTGGCCACTGTGTGAGATAGGATGCTGGACCCAGATGGGCCATTAGTCTAATTTAGCAGGTCTCTTCTTATGTTGTTATGTTCACTGAAGGGAAAGGCTTGAGGCAATCTGCCAGGCTTCAATGAAGCAAGTGAATCGCAACTTAAGGTGCCAGCAGTTCTGAGGAATGATGGGCAATGGTAGGCCTCTAGCCCTAGAAGCAATCTGGCCTACACGGGGCTCAGAATTACCCCACTGGCCACATCCAGCCAGAGCTAAGAGTGGCTTGACAACCCCCCCTGCCCATATCGTGTCCCTTAAAACTGCACAGCAGCATGCTGAGCTGTGGCCAGAATGGTGTGGGCGCTGTCCAGTCTCCCTGCAGGCCATGGACCAGCAGCAGCCCCAACTCCCAGCCTCCCAGTCAGCAGCTTTGTGCTCCTCCTTGTGGGTAGCCATGTGTGAAAACTGACCCAGGCACCAGTCGGGGGCGGGGGTGGCGGCTCAGCCTTGGGTGGGTTTAGCATTTTCAGCCGAGAGAGATGGGAGTTTCTGGGGAGGTTTCCAGGCTCATTTAAATCTATATGGAGATTGGGCTTCTGGGTACCCCTTCAGGCCTGCCACCACCCCGTCCTTGGTATGCCACTGGACAGAGAGCTGAGAGTAGTTTGTGAGGCACATTTCTTTTGTCCCACTTCTGCATCTTTTCAACCAGGTTTTTGCAGGATATTAAAACAGTATAAACATCCGTTAGGAGATGGGGAAGTGGGACGACTATACAGACATCAAGCAGCAGTCACTCAAACTACCTACAGCTCTCTTCACCACCACCTCCCACTAACCTACTCTCTACTGTCTGTCTTCAGTTGTGCTGATCTGGTTGTTGGGCAGCATGTGGTGTTACAGTCTCATCCAGTGTTCCCTCTAAACTGAGTTACTGTGAGCTAGCTCACAGTTTTTAAGCCTCCAGCTCACACATTTTTGCTTTTGCTCAGGGAGGAGGGCTCCAGAGCCAACTAATTTATGCAGCAGCCAAATCGCTCGCTCACAACTTACATGCCAGTAGCTCACAAAGTAGAATTTTTGTTCACAACACTCCACAGCTTAGAGGGAACGGGTGAGTGTTTGTATCTCCAGAAAGTCTATCAGGTTCTGGACCAATCTGTCTGTAACATTTTGAACACTGATGACATTGAATTAACCCGCCTTCAGTTTTCAATTGGCACAATACTGGGGAAAGCCATAAAACTGTTTCAGGTATATCCTCAGTGTCCAAGAATGTAAGTCACTATTTCCCCAGTTGCCATTTGGTATGCATAATAGATTTATTTATTTATTTATTTATTTATTTATTTATTTATTTTTACCCCGCCCTCCCCGCAAGCGGGCTCAGGGCGGCTTACAGAGATTGTGCTGCACATGTGGAGTCTGGTGGAGTAGATGCTCAGCATAAGGTTTTTTGTTCATGTACTTATGAAGCAAGCTGGAGCCATTTGGCTTGTGCAGAGACAGAAGCTGCTTCTCTTGCACAGGATCCCTAACCATAGAAATGGCTGCTGAGCACTTAAAGCCCTAGCCCTATTAGGCAACACTGAGCACTGCTGCTGTGTCTATTTCATTCGGCCCTTATTGTCATAATTTTTTTTTTTTAATCCAACAGGCCGTGTGTAAGTCTCTTGGAGCTGGGGAAGTTGCTTGCAGTTGCTCTGAAGGATACATGGGAGATGGAGATATATGTTATGCAGATATCATGACGGTAAGAAGGCAAAAATATAATTTTTCTTCTCTAAGGAATGATAATCTGAACTCACACACACAGTGTAGCTAGCGATGGCAGGAGCTGAACTCTGAAGCATTCTGCTATGGTTAAATTATCTTGAAATGTTGTACGTGTCCTAATGTAAATCCTTCTGAAAATATTTTGTTGTATTCCAATTAAATTTTCCTTCACTTATGGAATTCATTGGCACATAGTGGTGGACGCTAACGTAGATAGCTTTTATACTAGATAGATGCATGGAGCTAAGTATGTCAGTTGTTATTAGCCAGTAAAGCTAAATAGAAACACATTGTTCAGAAACAGTGTGTTTTAAAATATCAAATTCTAGGCAGGGGGGAGGACTGTTGCCTTCATGCATTCTTCTAAACTTCCCAGAAGCATTTGGTTGGCCACTATGTAAAGCAGATACTGGATTAGATAGCACCTTGGTCTGAAATAGCATGAGGGGGACTTTGGCAGCCATCACACACACTAAATGATGCACTTTCAATCCACTCTCAGTCCACTTTCCAATTGAATTTTACTGTGTGAACTGGCAAAATCCAGTTGGAAAGTGCATTGAAAGAAGATTGAAAGTGCATTATTTAGTGTGTGTGACCGCAGCCTTTGTCGGTACTGTTTTAGACTGTCAGGTAATCAAGATCTAGAAGTTCACTGTACTATCCTATTGTTCTTTACATACTTTTCCATAGCTACTCTGCTTTTCTTTTTTTTAAAACCTTTTCTCTTTTTAAAGGAGTTAGCACGAAACTACCACTTTTCTGCCTTCTTCGGCTGGATCAAGGTGAGACATTTGGTTTAAAGCAACTGTGTTTTGTTTTGTGGAAGGGGGAAAGCCCAAACAACTGGAAAAGGTTTTTTAAAATGTTAAATACATCAAGAATTAATGTGTTTAAGAAAGGGAGTGGAGTGTTGTTGTTGTTTTTAGTTAGAACTGATGACTGTGGATTCTAAACATTTTCATTATTGCAAAGCTATAGCTCTCAGTGGTGGCTCAAGTGGTTAAGACGCTGAACTGCAGGCTGTGGAAGGTCGGTAGTTCAGCAGTTCGAGACCCGGGTGCCGCATGACGGAGTGAGCTCCCATCTCTAGTTCCAGCTCCTGCCAACCTAGCAGTTCGAAAGCAAGAAATTGCAAGTAGATAAATAGGTACCACTTCGGTGGGAAGGTAACAGCGTTCCGTGAGCCTTGGTGTCTAGTCATGCCGGCCACATGACCACGGAAACGTCTTCGGACAGCGCTGGCTCTTCGGCTTTGAAACGGAGATAAGCACCGCAACCCTAGAGTTGGATTCGACTGGCTTTTGAGCAAGGGAACCTTTACCTTTACCTTATAGCTCTCAGTATGCCCTGACGTGGATGGCCCAGGCTAACCCAGTCTCATCAGATCTCAGAAGCTAAGCAGGGTCAGCCTTGGTTAGGACTTGGATGGAAGACCACCAAGGAATATCAGGGTCACTGTGCAGAGGCAGGCAGTGCAAAACCACCTCTGAATGCCTCTTGCCTTGAAAACCCTACAGGGTCGCCTCGCCATATCAGCTGTGACTTGATGCCACCATTCCACCACTGCAGTCTCAGCACAGTCATCTGGATAGATATGGAAACAGTTTACAATTCTTAGTATTTTTTTCTGCCAACAATCAACAGATTATGAGTGAGGGAATGAGTGGGACAACTTTATGGATATGGTCTGCCTTGAACCATTGTGCTGTGCTGTAGCTCTATGCTGGTCAATAAAGGCTGCTTCCACATGCTTCCCCCCACCCCCGAATGGAGTGCCCCCCATTGTTCAGAGCTTTTACTCAACGATTTTCTCACTTCTACGTTAAATCAAATAAAAAATATTCAAAGGAGAAAATGCAATATACTTGTGGGTGAACTGTCCATGTCGGCCCTGGGCAGACGCCTAGTTAACCGAAGAATGTATGTTGTCAGGCTAGGTTGATAAATGGAACTCATCTTGGATTAAGAAAATTTAACATCAAGAGCACCGCACTTTACTTAATGATTGTTTTATACTGTTTAATGATTGTTTTTGCGTTGTTTTAACTGTTTGTTATGGCATTTGCCTCTGTTGTTAGCCGCCCTGAGCCCGTTGGGGAGGGCGGGGTATAAATCTAATAAATAAATAAATAGCCAATTGAGAGGGGGATGGAGTTAAGCCCCACCTTTAAAATGTTAGAGGTATGCCCTGCCCACATGCCCTGCCCCATTTAGCTCTTTAGGGCTTTTTTCTGTCCCCAGCTGAGATGCGGTATACCTTAACTGCAGTTCAGTTGGAAAGAGGGAAAGGTCAGGTTGCTTGATACTATCCCTTACCCCACCATCCTCTTGTGATCTCACAAAATCTGATTTGTAAATCATGGAGCCCACTTGGATAAAAAGTGATGTGGCCTGAGGGGTTACTGCTATGAAGAGGGGGAGGTGAAGAAGTGCTTCCTTTGGCATTTGAGGCTTTGTTAGCCCAAGAGCATGGTGGGAATTATTTCACCTAGCTCCCCCTCCTCAGCTATCTTGGTCACATGTCTTTTTGTCCATGCAGACTTTGTGATTACCATTTTCACAGTCATGGTAAAATGATAGTGAAAAGAGCCCTGGTGGTGGCTTCAAAATATACCAGCCTCTGCTGTAATGAATCATCTCATCATAATTATGACTGTTATGTTGATTCCCTGTCTTGTCATTTATAGTGCCAGGTTTGACTAACAAACAAACAATAACGCTTCTGTTACTTTGTACAACAGAAATCTCTCTTCAGCCTTCCAAAAGGAGGCAATGTGACTGTTCTGGTGCCAGTAAATACGGTCATTGAAAAGCTAAACGAGACTGAAAAAGGGTTGTGGTTAAAGCCTGACGTGTTACCATTTGTAGTCAGGTATGGTGAGCTGTATCTGTTTCCCTCTTGCATTGCAATCTGTGTGAACATGCTTTGTCAAACTGTCGGTCCATTTAACTCACTTTTCTGGCAACAGCTCCTTAGCAGCACTTGCTAATGAAGGGCCTATATTGCAAGTTCCATGTACAGAACTCCCAATGTTGTTTTTTTAAAACACTTTTCCCAGGCACATAGGGTGTAGCTTGGATTGGGACCACAGTGTGAGGAGAGAGAGCTTTTAAGCCTTCCCCAACACCATTCTTTTCTAGCCACAAAAAGCCTTAGAGGAGCCCTATTGGCCCTATTGCATTTTCATAATGGGGCAAAATGTGCTTCCCCAGGGCCAGAAAATGTTGTGCTGCAGTTCTACATGCCTATAGAAATAATAGAATAATAGAATAACATGCAGACCTACATGCCTATAGAAATAATAGAAAACGTATTGGGGAAAAGTTTCTTTTGGCCATTAACTCTGCTTTCAACAATATTCTAAATGGTCTTTTGTCATCTAATAATAGGGCTCACTTCCTCCAAGGTTCTTTCATGACTGGGGAACTCCAGAAATATGTGGGTCAGGAATTACCTACCCTCAATCCAAGGGTCAGGTGGCAGATAAACAATCACAATGGGGTAAGTGTTTTTAAAATCTTAGCATTCATGTATATTACACCACTGCCAAATAGCCTGTGGAGGGTTTTTACATAAAACGTACACAAATAAATCTGTATAAGACTAGGGATGTGCCCCATGGAAAAAACATGGGTATTTTTTGGATGTGGATATCAGGGAACTGAAAAGTATTGGTATTCCCGGTTATTTGGGTTCCAAAAAGCAATTAGTAGTTGGATCCAGGGTTTTTTTGTTTGCTTTAAGGGATTTTGATATTATTAATGAATATTCATTATTCCCTATGGGAAATCTTTCCCAGGGAGGGTGGAAGGGCTGCTTTTTTTGTTGTTGCAAATGGCACCAAAATTGCAGTGGAGCTGGTGATGCCTGTCCACTAAATAACCCCCAAGTTCCAATTGGCCTGATTCTATGGGCCCCTGAAGAAGGTGCCCCCAGCCATCCTCCATTGTTTCCTATGGGTGGAAATTCCATGCTTTCTCCAGAGCAAACAATAACCAAACACGCAAGAGCAAGCAAACCAACTACTGGCCATACACCTCTCAATGCAAACAGAACCAACAAGCCCAAAGAGGCAACACAGAACCAGGGAATCCCAGCAGAAGCACAGGACAATGTGGAAAGCCTAAAACAACCCATGTTCAATCAGAGAATCCAAACCAATCTCAAACCAGAGACTCCTCCAAACCAAATTGGAACACAGCTGCAAATCAGACAATCCAACCAATTTACAAAGCAAGAACCAAAGGCAATGTCAAACCCAAGAATCCACCACAAATCCAATACAAATCAACTCCAGCAAAGAACACAATGTTACAAGATCAACAAAACCAATTTCAAAGGACACAATCAAAACCAAAACATGACAAGCCAATATTAAGTCCTGTCAAAACACAAAAACAGAGTATAACTTTTTTTAAAAAAACAACACCAATCCTGGGAGCCTTAAAATGCTGGCTCCCAATATTCCCAGTTACTCCCAAATATTTCTGAGATTTTTCAGGACCCATTTCCCAGTATGTCAAAAAATCCCTGACTGATAAGGTATTTTTCAGAAGTATATTTGGACTGTATGTATCCAAACACACGTTCCTAGTTACTTCTCACCATCCCCTCAGTTAAAGGCAAAGCCTTTCATTGGTGCAACACTCATCCCACTTGGGGGGGGGGGGGGGACTTGGATTCAATGAGG